TGCAATGAAACTCGGTCATATAAACTAGGCCAGGTTTACTGGTCATAAATACTGGAATGACCCAAGATTATGGCTCTCAGCCACCTTCAGGTCTGGAACACAATTCAATTTTCAGCCAAGCAGTAGATAGGTAAATTCAAGATCAAGGGGGCAACATTTACCCAAGGACAAAGTTCAGAAAGGTTGGAAAGGACAATGGAATGGAAATAATCACAGGGAGGAAGTAGGATGACTTGTTTTATTCTTGATTATATCCTGTTTTTGCTCATTGCTTAGTTCGTTTTGTTTTGTTTTCCTGTGTGTGTTTTCTCCTCTTGCCCCACCGATGGGAGACTGCCATCATGCTTATACAAACTCAGCCACATATGTATTCTCTACATCTCCACACAGTGGCTAAGAGCCAATACCAGCTCCAATACCACCTGTTCAGTGATAAACAGCCAACACCAGCCAAACCCACCCTAAACTGAGCTGCATAAACAGCAAACAGAAAACAATGCATATGTTTCCATTTTCTAACATCCACCAGGAGACAGTTGGTGAGAGCCTAAGAACATACCAGCATACAATCATCAAATACAAACACCCTAAAGTCATAGAGACAACAGAAGCTCCTATGAAGAAACAAGAGTAGTTCAAATAAATGACCAAGATGCAGAGCCAGAGAATCTGTCTGAGGAAGAAAAGGAAACAGAAGAACCTAAGAAAATTATATTTAGTTACCTTCAGATTGGCAGTAAAATCAAAGAAAGCTAAGAAAACACAGAAAAAGTTTGAGAACTTTACAATATGTAAGAACAAACCAACAAAATAAATGCAAATTTTGAAACAATGCAAAACCTGCCAACAGAAACCCAGAAGATTAATACTAAGATCTCAGAAATGAGCAATGCATTGGAAGGGCAAAGGATTAGATTTGAATCAAAAGGAAGCCTGAATTAGTGACCTTGAAGATAAACTTCTCAATAGTAGTAGGCTAAAGAACAATCTGAGAAAATGGAAAAACACACATACACACACACAAAAACAAGAAAGCCCGAGATTTATGTGTGCTACCATTAAAAGGAAATGACATGGGTGAGCAGAATTCCAGAACAGGAAGAGACGATAGAAAGCATGGAGAAAATTGTAAGAATTGCTGAAACAAAGCTTCCTTACCATGAAAAACGGTTAAGATAACCATTCAAGGTGAACTAACCATAAACAGGATATATCCTGAACAACAACAACAACAAAAATCAGTAAGACATATAATAATCCAACTCTTTGAAACCAAAGACAAAGAAAGAGTTCCAAGAGCAGCTCGGGAAAAAACAAAAAGTTGTCTAATAAAAGAGAACAAATAAGACTAAGTTCCAATTTCTCTGCAGAAACCATGCAGGCAAGAAGGTACTGGGATGGCATACAAAAAATTTTTAATGAAAAAAGTTACCAGCCAAGAAACATATACCCAGCAAAGCTGGCCTTCAAAATATGATGCCAATGAAGGAGGAACTTTCAATAACCAGAACAACTTTATATAAACAATATTAAAGGATATTGGACTTGGACTCAGAACCAACAGCAGCAGACAACAACCCGAGATTTACATTATACCACTAATCAGAACTCAATTCAGATATACAGTCTCCAAGTCAAACAGACCTACAAGACTGAAAAAGAGGGAACCAGAGACATCGATTTATCATGAAGTCAACTACAAAACAAATAGAACAGAACTTCCAAATGATCAGGAAGTGCAGTAGATTAAGAAAACAGACTGTTTTAATTGGGGACAAAAAAAATTCCAGGGTAACCTCCAAGAAAATATACCTTCACATCAAAATAAAATCGGGAAATCTGGAAGATTTGGTAAACATTAAAGCAACAGTGATGAAAATAAGAAAACCCTCAAATCAACTCAGCATAGAAATCTTGTGCAATAAAACCAGCATCATACACACAAAAAACTGTGGCAAAATGACAGCAATCAATTCATAGTTCTCAATAACTTTACTGAATGTAAGTGGATTTAAGTGTACCAGTCAAGAGACAGTAGAAGAATGGATACAAACTTTGGTCCATACACACAATGGAATACTACGCAACAATAAAAATGATAGATCTGCTAAACACTTCACAACATGGATGAACCTGACTCCATTATGCTTAATAAAATTATTCAATCACAAGACAAATATTGTAGGAGACGGCTGTTGTAAAAAGAATTTAAGAGTTTTTCTTGCAAAGAAACATTCTATGATGGTTACCACTGGGTAGAGGGTGTTGGTAAATTTTAAGTACCATTGAGTTAAATTTGATTTCAAAGCTATCCTGTGAACCTTAAGGACATTATGTTGAGAGAAATTAGTCACAAAAGGAGAAATACTGCATAGGACCACTACTGTAAAAGACTAAGAAAAATAACCCATACTAAAGGGGGGCGGGGATTCTTTGCTGGCTACTGGGATATTAGGCATGGGGAGAGGGGAGGGAAGGAAAGATGGAGCACAGAGTAGGGAATAGACACAGGATAGTTTGGGTGCTAGGGAGGGGGGCAATATACAAGAAGGGGGGTAATGAAGAACAAAGAGGATGGGAGAATAATTAGGCAGGTTTGCATGGGCTAAGTGGGACAGAGGTAAATAATGATGTATGCACAACCTTGGAACAACAGAGCTCTGGAATATAGGGGATTGAGACATGGTTGAAATGGGGAAAGGGGGGAAATAATGTTAAGATGCTTGGCTGTCTTATGAATCTTGGTTTCCCTGGCATACCATTGTAAAATAGACACCTGAGGGGAAGAAAAAGGAATAGCCAGAAATATCACCATAGAATGCTTGTAAGTCTGTCTTCTGCCTATAACTAATTGGAATACCTAAAATGGGCTACAATGTGCCCAGTGAAGGAGTTTTCTTATGGAGCCTCTGAATTACATAAGACCATAGGTGAAATTCTGAACAGCATCCAGAATCTT